ACTCCACGGACTGATTGGCCAGCCAAAGTTACACGTCTACCTCTTAGCAAAGCTCGGGACTGGCCTGGCAGTGTCAGTGAAGTGATGTCACTTGATAGTGCCCAAAAGCAAAAGCTTCCACTTACTTTACTAGAGTGTGTCCTACGTGAAGCAGGCAAGATGTCTAATCTCAAATCAAATCAGCCATGGAGTAACAGTGAGGTGAAAACCTTTCTTTCTTTGCTTGCCAAACTAGAACTAAATGGAGCAGTGAGGAACGAGAAGGTGTTTCAGGAGCTTTCACAAGCCAAGGCTGTGCAAGGATTCAGCCGAACCTCAAAAGTGTCGCAACAAATTGAAAAAAAATGAAACGGACGATCAAGGACCGCAACGGTCGGAGTAAATCGGACAGGCGGCAATAAAAATGGTTTCAAGAAATGGAGGCCATTTATTTATTTATTTTAAATATTCTTTATTTAACCAGGAATGTCCCATTCAGATTAAAAACCTCATTTTGAAGGGAGTCCTGGCCAACAGGCAGCAAAAGTTACTGTTACAAATTTTTCTGTTACAAAGACGTGTTACGTACAAATGTACAGAAAGCAGTTACAACACAGGGAATCCGTCTGAAGGTTCTTAGTCGGGTTTTAAATGTATTCAAGGAGAGAAACTCCATTAACTTCCAGTTTTCCTGCAGCCGGTTCCATGCGGAAGGAGCAGAATGAACGAATGCCCTTTTACCCATTTCGGTGCGAGCAAACGGAACGCTAAGTAACAACTGATCATTTGCACGCAGACTGTGAGAAGTTACACGTGTCCGTGAGATTAAGTTACAGATGTGGGTGGGTAGTAATCCAAGCATGGCCTTATGAAGAAATATATAATCAACATTGTTTAACTGAACAATTACATGATAATAAATCACAGTGCGTTAAGTGCCCACCATAGCCTTAAGACATGTGTTGAACGTGCCCAAGTCCATACTTATGAGAGCACCATGTGAGCGCCTGTGTGTGTACACGCGCTTGTTTATGTAAGGTTTCTCTATAGGAGCGTGCAATAGAGAGTCTGAGGGGCTACAGATCTGCCCCCTAAAGATGTGCAGGAGCCGGGGGAGCTCCAAGTCCCAGAGATCCAGGAGCTGCCCCAGAGCACAGGAACTCCAGGGAGACTGTGACCAGAAAGGCCCCCGCTCCCCTCGAGAGGCGCAGAGGATCGCCCGGGGGGCCACAACCAGCAGCCGGCAGAGTCCCGGGAGATATCGACGGCAAGCCCACTGGCCCGCCCGCAGCCTCCCACCCCCTAGCCGGCTGAGCCCGGGACCCAATGACCCGGGACGACCACCCCCACCGGGGACCCAGCAGAGCCCAGGGGCCAGACCCACCCAGGCAGCCACCGGGACTGGTCAGGCAGATGCCAAAAATCTCAAACTCCCTGACCCGGGAGCCACGACCCAGGCAGACCAAGGCACTGCACTCCACACCAGGTGTGGTAGGGGGAGGGGGACGAAGACCTATATCATCAAAAGAAGTCCCAGGAGAGGGGAGGAGTCAAATGCCCCACCTGACATATAAAGTCATACACAAACACAGTCACACACTCCCTCCCTCATGTTTACACATGCACATACAACCAAAGACTTACAAAAATGCACGCCGGACACCCACTCATGCTCCCCATACACACCCTATTCACTCTGGTCCTGGTACTGCTGCACATGGGGTACAAACATCACCGGTTACCAGAGTTCAACCCTTTCTGCTGGGGTGCTGATGAGCAGGCTCCCCAACCCAACGCTGAGCACAGCAACCCACCACCCCAGACCCCAACCAGATGGCCAGATCTCCCTCCTAGCCTCCAGCCCCAGGAAGCCAAGCAACAACAGAGGTGTGCTAAGACCCCTAGTCTCTCTCCGCCTGCTCCAATATAGTGTTGTGTGTTGATGAGGTGTATTCCATGGCTGCGGTGAGCGGGCAGTGCGGGCATTGTCTGGCCTATACCAGCTGATACCTCACCACCCCACTTGCACTCACAGCCCTCTGTGTCTAAGTGCAGTTTAAAATTTGAAGTGGGCACCGGCACTCGGGAGGAGGCTGAGAAACCCCCCTGCCAAATGCCGTTGAATGTGCTCACTCCCAAGGCCCTAAGTGTGTGTTTGCATGGAATGCCACTGGTGGAAGTGTTTAAGGTGCAAATAAAATTGGGGGGCAGGTTCCCACAGGAATGCGGAAATGGGGTCCATACCTGCACTCCCTGACTTGTCCACCCCCCAAGGTCCTATGTGCATGTTTGTGTGATGATGTGAGGGAGCAGGAGGAAAAAAACGTGCAGGGATGGGGAGGAATGGCTGGTTGGGCTTAGCCCTCCAGGGAGCCAGCTCCCCTACTGGCCCCAATAGGCACTTCTGTTGTCAAAATGCCACCCAGGGGATGGATACCCCAGCCCATCTTGCCAGGGCTCAAAGCAGCAGCCTCACGGAGTCCGAGGGCACCAACCCAGCCCCACCCCAGCAGAATATCTACGCCCATCCCTGCATTTGCACAATTTCCAGAATATGTAAGACATAGGACATCCAGGTAAGGTTGGGTCCTCCCCCTCCTGGACCTCCCCCTCCCCTGTGATGGGACAGCAGAGGAGCCAAGGTCTACCCGAGCCCCTGAACCCGGGCCAGGCACTGCTGCATTTTCCTGCCTTCTTCCCGGCAGCATACATGTCAGGACCTGACCCCCAAGGCCCCGCCCAGATCCCCACACGGGGCCAGCCACCTCCACACCCCGAGCCCCCAGGCCCCTGCCCAGACCTGCCCAGGGGCAATGCAGCTCACAACCGCCAGTAGTCCACCCCCCCCGAGGCAACCTAAGCACCTCCAGAGGGGGGCAACAGCCCCCCAGTCCCAGACACCCCCAGTGAACCCATCTCCAGGGAACACCCGGATACTCCAAACTCAGACCCTCAGATTCTTGTGCATCCTTTACTGTTTCTTTTTTGTGAACCCACCCACCCACCCACCCACACACACACACACACACACACACACACACACACACACACACACACACACACACACACACACACACACACACACACACACACACACACACACACACACACACTTCTTCCTTTCCTTTCCTCTCCCCTCTGTCTCTTTTATTTCTGCCTCCATGTTTGTTGGACTTTAAAACAACCGAAAATATTTCTAATAAGGTTTTGATATCAGGAGTGGTATCATAGCAGAATCTATAGAAAGTAAACTGTAAGGCCTTTCTTACATCTTCAATTCTGATTTCTTTGCAGCCAGACAGAACACGGAAAACCAACAACAACAGTTAAATAGAAAAAAAAACTGCCAACATTCTAAAGGGTACTTCCATTGGGAGTGGGTGTAAAGCTTGGTTTATGCTTGATGCATTTACTTTCCGCTTGGTGATGCGGCTCGCGGATGGAACGCGCTTCACAACTTGCAGCGTTTATGGTTCATGCGGCTTGTCTGTGCGGTGAGCCAATATTCTCCCAAACTGTAGGGGGCAGCATGGAGCTCTACGGCATGCATCCAACACTACACCATAGTAGAAGTTAAAATGACTGTTGTTTACAACATGGCATTCCAGCTTTTTTTAACAGCGTCCTCGTCTTTTCCGACAGTGCGAGCTATTTCTCTCCAAGAGTTATTAACAACATGTTGATCACGGTGATCTCTGAGAGCTGAATCATACAAATGTCTGTATTTACCAACCTCTGCCATACTAGTTCTTGCCAGTCCGCCATGTTTTTCCGTGTTTGACCGTCCGCGTGGTTAGAAAATGTCCTAGGTGCGGAAAGTTTGGGCCGCGCGCAGGCGCGGTGGAAGGGCGTGGTTGTTAAAATGACGCAATTTTGCAGCACGGAGCCGTGCGAACCTCGCGGACGCCGTCGTCGTCGTCGTCGTCTTCCTCCGCTTATCCGGGTCCGGGTCGCGGGGGCAGCATCCCAATTAGGGAGCTCCAGGCCGTCCTCTCCCCGGCCTTGTCCACCAGCTCCTCCGGCAGGACCCCAAGGCGTTCCCGGACCAGATTGGAGATGTAACCTCTCCAACGTGTCCTGGGTCGACCCGGGGGCCTTCTGCCGGCAGGACATGCCCGAAACACCTCCCCGGGGAGGCGTCCAGGAGGCATCCTGACCAGATGCCCAAACCACCTCAACTGGCTCCTTTCGATCCGGAGGAGCAGCGGTTCTACTCCGAGTCCCTCCCGAATGTCCGAGCTCCTCACCCTATCTCTAAGGCTGAGCCCGGCCACCCTACGGAGGAAACTCATTTCGGCCGCTTGTATCCGCGATCTCGTTCTTTCGGTCATTACCCAAAGCTCATGCCCATAGGTGAGGATTGGGACGTAGATCGACCGGTAAATCGAGAGCCTGGCTTTCTGGCTCAGCTCCCTCTTCCCCACGACAGATCGGCTCAGCGTCCGCATCACTGCAGACGCCGAACCAATCCGCCTGTCGATCTCCCGATCCCTCCTACCCTCACTCGTGAACAAGACCCCGAGATACTTAAACTCCTCCACTTGAGGTAGGACCTCTCCCCCGACCCGGAGGTGGCAAGCCACCCTTTTCCGGTCGAGAACCATGGTCTCAGATTTGGAGGTGCTGATCCTCATCCCAGCCGCTTCACATTCGGCCGCGAACCTACCCAGCAAGAGCTGAAGGTCAGAGCTGGATGAAGCTAGGAGAACCACATCATCCGCAAAAAGCAGAGACGAGATTCTCCTGCCACCAAACTCGACACACTCCACACCACGGCTGCGTCTAGAAATTCTGTCCATAAAAGTGATGAACAGAACCGGTGACAAAGGGCAGCCCTGGCGGAGTCCAACCCTCACTGGGAACAGGTCCGACTTACTACCGGCTATGCGGACCAAACTCACGCGTCAAGCATAAACCAACCTTAAGTCTATGAATGAATGAGAAAACCAACTGAATGAGTCTGTGACTGAGTTGCTTCCTGGACGAGTGCGATATGTGTCAGACTTATTGGTCAGATCTCATTTAAAGGTTGAGAAAAGCAGATTCTATTTATTTGAAACCAGTTACTTTTGAGTGCAAATAAAATATGTTTTTGCACCCGTCCCCCCTCTCTACTGTCCACTCCTTGTTCCCTCCTCTCCATGATTCATCATGCTGCCACACTGCCACCTACGACTGACTGGAAATTGTTGTTGTTAGCCTCAAGGGCAACATGCCGATTATAACTTGTAAGACGCTTTGGACTAAAGCGTCTGCTAAATACATAAACATAAACATGTTTTGTTAAATATCACATATGATAACATACAGTATAGCTTATCATTACAGTTGTCATGTGTTTTAGCACTAATGTCAGAAAGTAGAAAAGCTGAGCTGCATCCACTTTAGTGAGATAACGGTGAAACCTCTCTGTGCACCTGTGAGGGGATGTTTCTGTTGCTGCTCACAGAAAGCCCCCCTCATTCTCACTGCTGTCTTTGGGAAATTGTTTAGTTTTCAGCTCCAGCCACATTGCTCAGTCATTTCCTGACCAGAACACACGGTTCCCTTTTCATCAAACTTCACAGAGAATCAGTCAGGAGTCCCCAGATGATTCTTCAGCTCTGCGGGCTGTTTTCAGCATTTGGAGGACTGTTTCAGGTTGAGTCTCTTAGGAAGTCCAGCGTTAGACACAGCTGGACAGTCCAGCCCTGGATTCTTACAGTCTCAAGTGAAGTCCATTTTATTTACAGCGTTCTTGAAGGTGGTGTAGAGTCCAGCAATGTTCTGTAAACATCCGACCTGAGGAAACGTGGGTATGAATCCTTCTCCATCAACCCGTAGACAATCTTCTGGGCATCATCAAAACAGACCATGGAGGGAACCTTCATATTACTCCTAATCAGCTCTCTGGTCTTGTGATCGATGTTTATCTGGAATCAAAGAAGCCATGATGAGAACTAGAAGAAACAGCTGCAATAGTTCTGTAAGCCAGCCATTTATTCAGATCATTAAAAAAGAAGCGTCCACACCTCTCTGGGAGCCTCCGCTCGAATGTAGAGTTTGAAGATCTTTTTGGCTTTGAAGGACATCCTGAAGGAGCACCTGATCTTCTTGTAGTCCTCACACACCGCCCAAAACTCAAGATTCTCATCACTGAACTCAGACTTCAGGAACGCCTGGAATATTTTTATCCCATCTAAATGGATTGGAAGTTTTAACGAAGTGTAAGCTGCTGTTGGGGTGAATACTCAATGAAACACTTTAGGTTAGGACAACTTACACTTAGATGATAAAAGTCGGTCCAGTGAGAGGGACCACTGAGATGTTTCTTCTCGACTAAGTCTGCGAAGAAAAGGGAACGATTGTCACAATCTGAAGAACATAGCTGAGTAGTGTGGACATGTAGCTCCAAGTTATGCTAACTTACCCTCCTGTGTTTGTAGCTTGAACCGTTTTACGTTGCACCAGAGATTTAAAGTTTCCTTCCCTGTTTAACCAAACCAAACCAAACAAAACAAATGAATATTTGATCACATAAATAGAGCTTGTCTTCATTTAAAACTAACAGAGTCTTGCCTGCATGTTCCAGTTTTTCTATCCTTAGCATCCATGTTGAAAAGCTGCAGATCCAGAGTTGATGTGACTAGTGTTGGCATGGCAGGAGGGTTTTGTACATGTGGGATTTTCTGTCTCGTTGCTCGTGGAGATGATCAGCTCTGCCTGATGGTTGAACCTGTGCAGCGACGCTAAATATGTGCAGCAGAAGTCTGAGAGGATGAAGAGTAACGTCACAGCTGTGTCTGAGCTAACCACAGCCAAAGAGGAAGCTGGGGATGACGCAAGCGGTTGAGCACATGTGCAGCATGGAGCTACAGTTGTTTGATTGTACTGCTCCAAACTGCTATGGTTTGGCTTGAAGCCCAGCGATGCAAATCAGCTGGTGGAAACATTCAAATGTTTCTGTATGTCTTCTGCTTTGCCTTTAGAGCCAGTGCTGCTAAAACTTATTTTGGAAATATGTTGATGCTCGATCCGTATTTGCACTCAAATTTAAATATAACACATTTAGTCTTGTTTATACTGCAGTTTTGTGTCATGATCCTGCCGTGCCCTGACCTCCATGCACCACCATTCATCTCATCATCCTTCATTCAACACACCTGGTCCCATCATCATGCTCATGCCACACACCTGCCTCTCCTGCTATATAAGATCCGGCCTGCTCTCCAACCATTGCCAGATAACTGAACGCTCTTGCTTGTAGACCTTCCAGCCTTCCAGTCCCATCGATCATCGACCTCGTTTCCCTCTTCCACCTCGCTTCACCCTCGCCTGGAACTCTACCTGCATTCACTACCCACGCCTGTCCTCTACCACGTCTCTCGCCTGCTCCACGGACCTCTTAAAGATCTTCCTGGTTCTGACCCACATTCTGTTCACCGATTTCCGTCTCAAGCCTCATCCTCCACGGGTAACGCCACGTCTCAGCTTTTTGCTTATAAATACTTTTAAAGTGCCTTACTGTGCCTTGGGGTCCGCATGGGTCTTCAAGTCCAGTCATTACAGTTTTGTACACATTTTCAATACAGGATTGCTCTGTATTAAGTCTTTTTCACTGTACAAAGACAAGATGAAGAAAATATAATTTCTATAGCGCCTCTCAAGAAAAGAATCACGAGGCGCTTCACAAAAACACAAAATGTAAAAATATAAAAAAGCACTTAGAAAATGGTTAAAAATATATTTAAAATGAGCACAAATAGGCAATTGTGATTTAAAAAATGTTACGAGAGAGAGTGAAGAGGAAAGAGGGAAATCAGTGGATCCTGAGGAAGGTGGAATAGGTGGGGAGAGCAGAATAAAGAGAGAGAGGTGAAGAGGGTCATACAAAAGCCAGTTTGAACAAGTGAGTCTTCAGCTGCTTTTTAAAGAAGGCCACTGAGTCCACTGATCTCAGGCTCAGGGGGAGAGAGTTCCAGAGTCTGGGGGCCACAGCAGCAAATGATCTGTCACCTTTGGTCTTTTGCCTGGAGCTGCAAAACCAGTAGGCTTTGATCACTGGACCTCAGGGACCTGCTGGGGGTGTAGGGACAAAGAAGATCACCAATGAAAGATGGTGCTTGTCCATGGAAGACCCTATAGACCAGAACCAGGATCTTGAAATGAACCCTGAAGTTGACTGGCAGCCAGTGAAGCTGGAGGAGAAGCGGGGTGATGTGGGTGTGTTTGGAGGACTTGGTCAGAAGCCGAGCACAGGCATTCTGATCCACCTGAAGATGGTTCAGGGAGGTTCAGCTCAGACACGTGAAAAGAGAGTTACAGTATTCTAAGCGTGAGGAGATTGTTACGGCTACCAGCCTGGCCGGTGGGATCCAGGAGCCAGGAGCCAGGATCTCCCAGCCCCAGTGTACATGGGGCGCTTCACAAAAACAAAACATGTAGAGAGAAAGGGGGAAAGGAAATGAAAGGAAAAAAAGGATACTTTCGATAGTGCCTCTCAAGATAAAAAACACGGAGCGCTTCAGACGAACAAAACATGTAGAGAGAGAGAAGGAAAGGAAAGGAAAAAAAGGATCCTTTCTATATCGCCTCTCAAGATAAAAATAATGGGGCGCTTCACAAAAACAAAACATGTAGAGAGAGAGAGGGGGGGGAGGAAAGGAAAGGAAAGTAAAGAAAAGATCCTTTCTATATCGCCTCTCAAGATAAAAATAATGGGGCGCTTCACAAAAACAAAACATGTAGAGAGAGAGAGGGGGAAAAGAAAGGAAAGGAAAGGAAAGAAAGGATCCTTTCTATATCGCCTCTCAAGATAAAAAAACCGGGGCGCATCACAAAAACAAAACATGTTGAGAGAGAGGGGGAAAGGAAAGGAAAGGAAAGGAAAGGAAAGGAAAGAAAGGATCCTTTCTATATCGCCTCTCAAGGTAAAAATCATGGGGCGCTTCACAAAAACAAAACATGTAGAGAGAGGGGGGAGGAAATGAAAGGAAAGGAAAGAAAGGATCCTTTCTATATCGCCTCTCATGATAAAAAACACGGGGTGCTTCACAAAAACAAAACATGTTGAGAGAGAGGGGGAAAGGAAAGGAAAGGAAAGGAAAAGAAAGAAAGGATCCTTTCTATATCGCCTCTCAAGATAAAAAACATGGGGCGCTTCACAAAAACAAAACATGTATAGAGATAAAAGGAAAGGAAAGGAAAGGAAAGGAGGGGACAGGAAAGAAAGGATCCTTTTAATATCGCCTATCATGATAAAAAACACGGGGCACTTCACAAAAAAAACATGTAGGGGGGGGGGGGGGGAAGGAAAGGAAAGGAAAGGAAAGGAAAGGAAAGAAATGATCCTTTCTATATCGCCTCTAATGATAAAAAACATGGGACGCTTCACAAAAACAAAACATAGAGAGAGAGAGAAGGAAAGGAAAGGAAAGGAAAGAAAGGATCCCTTCTATATCGCCTCTCAAGATAAAAATCATGGGGCGCTTCACAAAAACAAAACATGTGGAGAGAGAGGGGGAAAGGAAAGGAAAGGAAAGGAAAGGAAAGGAAAGAAAGGTTCCCTTCTATATCGCCTCTCAAGATAAAAAACATGGGGCGCTTCACAAAAACAAAACATGTGGAGAGAGAGGGGGAAAGGAAAGGAAAGGAAAGGAAAGGAAAGAAATGATCCTTTCTATATCGCCTCTAATGATAAAAAACATGGGACGCTTCACAAAAACAAAACATAGAGAGAGAGAGAAGGAAAGGAAAGGAAAGGAAAGAAAGGATCCCTTCTATATCGCCTCTCAAGATAAAAAACATGGGGCGCTTCACAAAAACAAAACATGTGGAGAGAGAGGGGGAAAGGAAAGGAAAGGAAAGGAAAGGAAAGGAAAGAAAGGTTCCCTTCTATATCGCCTCTCAAGATAAAAAACATGGGACGCTTCACAAAAACAAAACATAGAGAGAGAGAGAAGGAAAGGAAAGGAAAGGAAAGAAAGGATCCCTTCTATATCGCCTCTCAAGATAAAAATCATGGGGCGCTTCACAAAAACAAAACATGTGGAGAGAGAGGGGGAAAGGAAAGGAAAGGAAAGGAAAGGAAAGAAAGGTTCCTTTCTATCTCGCCTCTCAAGATAAAAAACCTGGGGCGCTTCACAAAAACAAAACATGTAGAGAGAGAGAAGGAAAGGAAAGGAAAGAGAGGATCCTTTCTATATCGCCTCTCATGATAAAAAACACGGGGCGCTTCACAAAAACAAAACATGTGGAGAGATAAAAGGAAAGGAAAGGAAAGGAAAGGAGGGGACAGGAAAGAAAGGATCCTTTTAATATCGCCTATCATGATAAAAAACACGGGGCACTTCACAAAAAAAACATGTAGAGGGGGGGGGGGGGAAGGAAAGGAAAGGAAAGGAAAGAAAGGATCCCTTCTATATCGCCTCTCAAGATAAAAAACATGGGACGCTTCACAAAAACAAAACATAGAGAGAGAGAGAAGGAAAGGAAAGGAAAGGAAAGAAAGGATCCCTTCTATATCGCCTCTCAAGATAAAAATCATGGGGCGCTTCACAAAAACAAAACATGTGGAGAGAGAGGGGGAAAGGAAAGGAAAGGAAAGGAAAGGAAAGGAAAGGAAAGGAAAGGAAAGGAAAGGAAAGGAAAGGAAAGAAAGGATCCCTTCTATATCGCCTCTCAAGATAAAAAACATGGGACGCTTCACAAAAACAAAACATAGAGAGAGAGAGAAGGAAAGGAAAGGAAAGGAAAGAAAGGATCCCTTCTATCTCGCCTCTCAAGATAAAAAACCTGGGGCGCTTCACAAAAACAAAACATGTAGAGAGAGAGAAGGAAAGGAAAGGAAAGAGAGGATCCTTTCTATATCGCCTCTCATGATAAAAAACACGGGGCGCTTCACAACAACAAAACATGTTGAGAGAGAGGGGGAAAGGAAAGGAAAGGAAAGGAAAAGAAAGGAAAGGAAAGGAAAGGAAAGGAAAGAAAGGTTCCTTTCTATATCGCCTCTCATGATAAAAAACACGGGGCGCTTCACAAAAACAAAACATGTGGAGAGAGAGGGGGAAAGGAAAGGAAAGGAAAGGAAAAGAAAGGAAAGGAAAGGAAAGGAAAGGAAAGGAAAGGAAAGGAAAGGAAAGGAAAGAAAGGTTCCTTTCGATTTCGCCTCTCAAGATAAAAAACCTGGGGCGCTTCACAAAAACAAAACATGTAGAGAGAGAGAGAAGGAAAGGAAAGGAAAGAAAGGATCCTTTCTATATCGCCTCTCATGATAAAAAACATGGGGCCCTTCACAAAAACAAAACATGTTGAGAGAGAGGGGGAAAGGAAAGGAAAGGAAAGGAAAGGAAAGAAAGGTTCCTTTCGATTTCGCCTCTCAAGATAAAAAACCTGGGGCCCTTCACAAAAACAAAACATGTTGAGAGAGAGGGGGAAAGGAAAGGAAAGGAAAGGAAAGAAAGGATCCTTTCTATAACGCCTCTCATGATAAAAAAACACGGGGCGCTTCACAAAAAGATAACATGTAGAGAGAGAGAGAAGGAAAGGAAAGGAAAGAAAGGTTCCTTTCGATTTCGCCTCTCAAGATAAAAAACATGGGGCCCTTCACAAAAACAAAACATGTTGAGAGAGAGGGGGAAAGGAAAGGAAAGGAAAGGAAAGAAAGGATCCTTTCTATAACGCCTCTCATGATAAAAAAACACGGGACGCTTCACAAAAACAAAATATGTAGAGAGAGAGAAGGAAAGGAAAGGATAGGAAAGGAAAGAAAGGATAGGAAAGGAAAGAAAGGATCCTTTCTATATCGCCTCTCATGATAAAAAACACGGAGCGCTTCACAAAAGCAAAACATGTTTAGAGAGAGGGGGAAAGGAAAGGAAAGGAAAGGAAAGGAAAGAAATGATCCTTTCTATATCGCCTCTAATGATAAAAAACATGGGGCAATTCACAAAAACAAAACATGTAGAGAGAGAGAAGGAAAGGAAAGGATCCTTTCTATATCGCCTCTCAAGATAAAAAACATGGGGCGCTTCACAAAAACAAAACATGTTGAGAGAGAGGCGGAAAAGAAAGGAAAGGAAAGGAAAGAAAGGATCCTTTCTATAACGCCTCTCATGATAAAAAAACACGGGGCGCTTCACAAAAACAAAACATCTTGAGAGAGATGGGGAAAGGAAAGGAAAGGAAAGAAAGGATCCTTTCTATATCGCCTCTCATGATAAAAAACACGGGACGCTTCACAAAAACAAAATATGTAGAGAGAGAGAAGGAAAGGAAAGGATAGGAAAGGAAAGAAAGGATAGGAAAGGAAAGAAAGGATCCTTTCTATATCGCCTCTCATGATAAAAAACACGGAGCGCTTCACAAAAGCA